TTTGGCAGGCCTGGTCTGTGACTCTCAGCACCATTTTCACAACAGTAGGTGACTACAAATAATGGTCTGAGTATTATGCACACATTCATAACACTTGGAAGTTCAAGTTCAGAAATGATTAATAGACAGGAATACAGAAAAGTTGGAATTTGGGGTACATTTAAGGATATTCCTAATATATGACCTTTTTACAAACCACCAACTGAATGTTTCATTAAGACATAAAGGTACAATGCCAAAATAAAATATCTGAATTAAATCATAGCTCTAAGTCTATCTTAACCTGAGCTAAGCAAACACTTAAAAAGACTACTTTATTAATGTACCTGATATTTTTCTTAATAATTTTAACTTCTGAATATATCAGTGTAACTTTGTCATGCATCTATTCTCTATTGCAGCAGAAAAATGTTTAAAAACTACTTAATATTAATATTGTTTTTACTGAAATATAGTAGCACCATGAAATATCCATTTTTAATCAATTAGATTTAATAGTAGACACAGATCTAGGTAATAGAGGATAACAGAGTGAAGAAAATTAAAAGGACACGAAGACTGTGTACAGGACAGAAAAATCCCATCTATTGCTCTGCTTTGTAATGGCCTCCTGTTTTCAGTTTCACTCTACATGGCACATCTATTATACAAAAGTGTTTGTCATGTATGTCTTGGCAAATGAACATATTGCTATGTGTATAGCAACGGGATATATTAAAATGAATAATTCTGTGTGGAAATTAACTTTCAAAGTGTGGCAAGTTAATTAAAACTCACACAGTATGTGGCATTTCCTTACCCCAATTCATGTTACCCTAGCTTCAAACAACAATCTTAAAAGTGACTTCTCTGATGGAATACTAAACCCTTCATGTCTGTAACACAGCATCTGGATCAGAGCTGTTGATATTAGTTAATGTGGCACTTAGAGCCTGCCTCTCGCAGTACCAGCCTTTTACAACCATTCATTACCGGTCTGAACCTGCCACTGTTGCCACTGCCATTGTGCCTCTATTTTAACCAGAGAAAACAATTACAATTTCTCATTCAGAGTTTAACTTAAGTCACTCAGTCTTCAAGAAACTTCTGTAAAATGTCTATTACTCCCCTCTACTGTATCACAACCCAGTAAGAGATGAGGCAGGTGGCTGCAGGACTGAGTCAGGTTCTGAACACTGATCTAAAATCAACACTATTGTATGAAATTGCCTTAACACAAACAAGAACAATGAATAAAAGAACAGAAAGCTGTTTTAAAAAATATATTTTGCTTTCATTTCTGCAGTAGGAATATTTATTTTTTAAATGTTCTGATTTGTAAGTAGTATTAAAACCCTCTTACATGCATTACTTAATGCATGGCCATATGCCTTTTCCTTCAAATTCCTTTTGTCAGACACTCATCAGTTACTGGTGTATGTCTGATTGGAAGATCTTTCATTTTAAGAAAATCTGAAGTGTTTCCATGGAGATCAGCTTGAGATAGCCCAGTGACGAACTTCTTAGCTATAATTTCACATTGGTTTCTATGGTTTCCAGATAGGGAAAGAAAATGAAGTTGCAGATTTTTTTTTTTGTAATGTAAAAGGTTATTGGAAAATAAGAGATACTGCTCAAATTAATGTCATCTCCCCTAGGAAAAGCAACTGTTCTTGCAAAGCATGGAAGATTTTAAGCCATATGAATACAGGCATATTTTTTTTTGGACTTGTCATAATGAAGAACTGTTGTAATACTTAATGTCGTAAATTTACCAGACACCTTTTTGAAATTGCATCAGTGAAATGCTTTGGTAATGGTTACTAATAACTGGCTCATAATCTCCACACTCCTTGCATCACATCTTTTAAGATGTCACACAGTGCCTGTGTAAAATTAGTAAAGAACATGTGATGAGAGTCTGGCACAGAGACATAACTATTAACTGATAAAGTTGTATAATTGTCATTTGAAGAATTAATTCTAAGTTGAATAACACCATCTCACAAGGTAAAGAAATGTACTCCTGTGAATCTGGTAGATTTTAAATAAGGAACAAATTCATTGCCCTATTTTACCAGAGCTGGGGCTTATGGGCTTAGAATCAAGAAGTGAATACAGGTATGTTTTCTTTCACTATTATCACTAGGGTTCCACTAGTGAGAGAGTTGTTTAATGTCCCTAAGACTTGCATTATAAAAGCAAGACTGTTACCAGGGATAATCGAAATGGTATCATTAAAGTGGAAGTTAAGCATGCTACCCTGAGATAAACAAGTGAGTGAATTTGTATTGGAAGCTACTCCTACCCTGAGATGAATGTGGCTCTTTCTGGATACTCTGTAGAAATATGAAGTCCTGCACTAAAAGAGCCCCACCACCCCATCATCCTCAGATTCTATTGACAAAAAAATGTAAGTTTACAAATGGCTTATGGGAAGAAGTTTCAGAGTAATTTGTAAAATAAAATATAATTAAAAGTCTCCAATAATTAATTTCAACCCTCAATGGAAATCAAATCTCCCCCCCCCTTTTTTTTTAACAAATGTGGTCTATGGTTACCTATACTCACTCGTTTTTTTCATCGTTCCAACATACTTGAAAGCCTCATTAAACAAAACCTGTTCCGAATATGAAATCACAAAAGCATCCCAAGCCTATGCTCTTACAAAGTTTCACAAACCAATAATAAACAAAAGGTTAAGGGCTACTCTGAAAGTGAGATAGTGAAATGGGATGTCTAGAACACAAGGTAATGGAGTTGGCAGAGAGAAAGCAAGGACCCAACAAAGGTTGCAGTTTTTAAGAGGTCTACTCAGAAAAGAGGATATGTGAGAAAAAAACAAGAAGTTGTAAGGATTCATACATAATGTGATTTATACTTAATCAGAAGTGCATCCTATGCACAAGAAAGAAAGAGAGAGAAAAAAAAACATTTAGTTGCAGGAGGCAAAATAAAATGGCCATTGCAGCATCCAGAACCACTTTTCTTATCTAAGAGCTTTGACTAGAGTTTCTGTCTTCTCAAAATGGAAGTGATATCATGACAGTTTTAAGATGATGTTGACTGTTGAAGTGAAATAAAATGCATATTGGTAAGGGAGGCGACAGGTCCAGGGAAGATAAGCAGAAAAGCAAGGAGACTATGAGAAAGTTTAGTTATCAATGCTAGTGGAAGTATGGTTGTTACAGACTGGCCTGAGGAAGAGAATGGGTGGTTTAAAAACTGAAAACCTTCTGTAGAGCAAAGGACACTGTCATAAGAACAAAATGCCAGCCTGCAGACTGGATCTTCACCAAACCTGTATCAGACAGAGGGTTAATATCTGGACTATATAAAGAACTCAAAAAGTTAAATACAAACAAATCAAGTAATCCAATTAAAAAATGGGGTACAGAGCCAACCAGAGAATTCTCAACAGAGGAATATCAAATGGCAGAGAAACACTTAAAGAAATGTTCAATGTCCTTAGTCATCAGAGAAATGCAAATCAAAATGACCCTGAGATTTTACCTTTCACCCATCAGAATGGCTAAGATCAAAAACTCAAGTGACAATACATACTGGAGAGGATGTGGAGAAAGGGGAACCCCCCTCCATTGCTGGTGGGAATGTAAACTTACAACCACTTTGAAAATCAATCTGGCACTTTCTCAGACAATTAGAATGTGCTTCATCAAGATCCAGCTATACCACTCCTAGGCATATATCCAAAAGATGCTCAAGTATACAACAAGGACATTTACTCAACCATGTTTGTAGCAGCTTTATTTGTAATAGCCAGAATCTTGAAACAACCCACATGTCCCTCAGTAGAGGAATGGATACAGAAATTGTGGTACATTTACACATTGGAATATTACTCAGCAATTTAAAACAAGGAAATCATGAAATTTACAGGCAAATGGTAGGAACTAGAAACGATCATCCTGAGTGAGGTAACCCAGAATCAGAAAGACACATATGGTATATACTCACTTATTAGTGGATATTAGACATATGATATAGGATAAACATACTAAAATCTGTACACATAAAGAAGCTACATAAGAAGGAGGAGCCGGGGTAAGGTGCTCAACCCTCATTCCGAAAAGCAACCAGACAGACATCGGAAGAGGGAGAAAAGGACATGAGCCACCACAGAGGGCTTCTGAAAGACTCTACCTAGCAGAGTATCAAAGCAGATGCTGAGACCCATAGCCAAACTTTGGGCAGAGTATAGGGAATCTTATGAAAGCAGGAGGGAGATGAAAGACATGGTGTGACAGATGTCACAAGGAGAGCTACAGAGCAAGAACAACAACAACAACAAAACAATGAGCACAGGAGTCTTTTCTGAGACTGATAATCCAACCAAAGACCATTCATGGAGATAACCTAGATCCCCTGCACAGATACATCCCAGGGACTGTCTCTGTCATGAACTCAGTGGCTGTCTTTTTGACCACATTCCCCTGAGGGGGAAGCAACTTTACCAGGTCACAGAGGAAGACAATGCAGCCAGTCTTGATGAGACCTGAGAGTCTAGGGTTAGATGGAAGGGGAGGACCTCCCCTATCAGTGGACTCGTGGAGGGGCATGGGAGAAGAAAGAGGGTGGGATTAGGAGGGGATGAAGGAGAGGGCTACAGCTGCGATACAAAATGAATAAATTGTAATAAATAAAATTTAAAATGTTTTCTACATACACACACAAAACAGGGCAGTTACTGACAAAACAATATGCATTGGTTACAACTTAATTAATTTCTAAGTTATGTATGTATGAATGCCTACTGAAGACAGATAACTAGAATAAAATTATACTTTCAAAGATACTGTATCCACACTCTCCAGTATTTGTAGCTACTGTTAAGTGTGTTAGTTCCAGGAACAAAATGATACTTTCTGATAACTTGTTAGTACTTTTACATTAATTTTATTTATTATGTTATACTATATTTTAATAAACAGAAGAGCATTTCCATGACATATTTGTTTTGAGACAATTCTCTATTATTGTATGTGGGATAGCTACTAAGATTACTTCCATTCTTTTGGGGTAACTCTGCCAACAGGAGATAGGTTCCATTCTATTCCCATTTGTGTCATATAAAACACATATCCAACAAAACAGAAAGTAGATCCACTAATTAGCACCACATTGCCATATTTATCATGAAAGTCCATTGAGGGCTTTGTATGGGTCTGTCTTCCCAAAACTTTCAGGGTGCTTCGAATCTTGAGATGGTTTAGTGCATATCTGGCCAAAGGAAACATCATGACCTATGAAGGGATTACTATTGATTGCAGAGATAGGTCTATTTCCAGAGATCTAGAAAACAAAAATAAGACAAAACATAAGGTAACCTCAGCAATGACATCTGATCTGAATTCAGTTCCTCCTTCATTACAGTGTTTCATGTAGGGCCACAGACCACCGGGAACAGTTATGATGGTTCATTTCTGTGAGAGGAGAGGAAGGGATGGAGGGAGAGAGAAGGAGGAGGAGAGGGAGTAGGAGGGGGGAGAGAAGGAGGAGAGAGAAGGGGAGAGGGAGGAAAGAACACCCATGTGGAAGCCAAATTTCCAGGGCAGTCAGTCTTGTACCTTTTCCCAATTTAGTTTTTGGGACAAAGGTTGATGACTGCATCTCCTCATGGTTTCATCTAGACTGTCTAGCTCAGAGCCCAGGATCTACAGTCCTCACATTGCTGGGATTAGACATGTGCATGGCCATATACAGCATTTATACAGCTGCTAGGGATATGAACTCAGGTCCTCTGGCTAATGAAGTAAATGCTTCCCGGTAAGATGGCTCCCAAACCCAGGAATGTGACTATGACATCAAAATGTATGGATTCTAATTTCAGCTAAGGTACTGCTTGACTGAAAAAATATGAGCAGTTATGGAAAAATCCCATTGTTTCTCCTTCACTGTCAAGCTGGTAACAATATGGTGAAGATTGCGTGTGATAACACAAAATAACAACACAGCAGACGGTGTTAAATAGTTCGTCCTCATCAAAAGCATGCAAAGGCTTTTCCATGTGCAGAATCCACGCTTATCAAAATGCCCAAGACAGTTACACAGAACCATTTGTCACACATCACACTAGTTGAATAGCTCATCGAAAACCTACTGAACATTCTAGCTTTCTGTCAGGATTATAAACCAATCACAGCATGTGTCACATTTCTTTCTGCTGTTCTCTTATTTCTTCCTGTTTGGTCATTTGGAAAGAACAGTATCAGAGAATAATTTACAATAACTATGTCTTTGCCTCATGTCTGCTGCTTTGTAACCGACTTCATTATTTCCCACATTGAGAAGCTGCAATCCAGAAACTTTGGCTTTACTGACACTGATTGCACACAATCATAACATAGTTCATTTTTTAGATATTCCTGTATCTATGATGCTCTTCCATCTACATTTTCTTCTAATAAATTGGCTTTTGAGGTTAAGAATTTCCCTTTAGAAATTGCTCTCTAGTATTTACTTAGCATTGCATTCCATTAATAAAATATTGCTGTAACATTTGAATATAAGATCTCATATATTTGACCCTGTGATTTCTGCTTTGTGGGGACATTTTAGAAATCTGTGGAACTTTTAAGAGGTAGAGCCTTGCTGGGAGAAGCAAATTTCTAGTGTGTACAACTTTGAGATTTCCCCCAAGATCTTTTTCCGATCTCATGTTCTTGTCCTATTTTCCTGTCTCATCTGTGTCCTAATTTGCCCAGGTATAAGATCTATTGCCAATTTGTATTCCTGTCACCAGGACTTCCTTACAATAATGAAGCATAACCCCGAAACTCTGGTCCACAATAAATTCTTCCTTGTATGTGTTAGAAATTCTGTTATGAAAAAATATATATATATAAGTAATACAACTGCAATCTTCTCATTCCTCCTTCCTGCTGGTATCAGCAACATCTGCCTTGTGTATATTTTGATTTATGAAGCAAATGTGAAAATTAAGAATCCACTGATTTTAAGCCTTTTCCACATTGTTAAATTCTATTTGGTAATTCTATAATGAATTTGTATAATGATAATGTATGATCATGTATCCTTAGCTTAGTATCGAAACAACTAAATATGTGCGTTCTAACAACCATACAGAAGCATACAATGGACAGTTTGATAATATTCAAAAAGAAATGTTTCTCACAATATACATTTTCTGATGAAAAAAGACCACAAAAAGGTGGATTTCTCTAGGTAATAAGAACAAAGTAAAAGTTCTTCCACCCTTGCATCAATAAAATGAAGGGAATATGTTCTGAGTAAATATACACAAACAAAATGTAGTGTTCTGTCAGATAAAAAGGCTGTGCAAAGGGTGGGACAAGATGGCTGCGCCAGGAGAACAGGGCATCTGAGGAGTCGGAAAACATTTCCTGTACAGTGACCAAGAGACTGTAACCTGGGCCATAAAACAACAGCGATCGTGTTTTTCAGGTGAGAGGAAACCCCCACGGCGTGGGAATCGGTCTGTACCACTCTCAGGTCCCCCAGCCAGAACCCGGAAGAGATCCCGGGTCGCGCAGGTACTAGGTCCCCAGACCAGAGCCACATGCCTGCGCGTCCTGATCACCTTCCCAGGCTGATCAATGGGCACAAAATCACCAGAGACTGGGAGTCCCAGTCACGAGAGAATCCACAGGGAAGAAAGGAAGCTGTACTGACTTAAATCACCCAGTCCTTCCCTGGAAAAAGTCTTGCAGACCAGTGGGGCCCAGCCACCATCACTGAGCTGTGCTCCAGACACAGGCAGTTTCTGCGCACCAGCTAGCTAGCAGAGACTGAGCGGTGCACCCCAGGGCAAAAAAGAGACTGGGAGTCCCTGTCTCCAGAGAATCCACAGGGAAGGAAGGAAACTATACTGACTCAAATCACCCAGTCCTTCCCTGGAAAAAGTCTCACAGACCAGCGGGGCCGAGCCGCCATCACTCAGCTGTACTCCAGACACAGGCACAAACAGTTGCTATGTGCCAGATGTCCAACTGTGTCACAGCAGCAGATCATTAAATTTACAGCAAAAAACCCAGAAACAGGGCAGCTGTCTTCAGGACTTCCTGGGTGAGAGGAGAACCCTCTCAACTAACAAAGACCACAGTTACCACTCAGGTCTCTATCCCTGAGTTGAGCAGCAGCAACTCCTGAAAAAACGCCAGCCATCCAGGGACTACATCCAAAAGGCTGAGAAGACTTCCTTCAAGAAAAACCAGCTTTCTGCCAAGGGGATTCTCTCCACCACAGGATCCCCAGAAACCACCAGAAAATAACTCCAAACACCTAAGATAACACAGTGGGTAGAGGCCAGCGTAAAAGCTCAAGCAACAAAAGACAGAGCAATATGGAATCTCCAGAACCCAGTTACCCAGGGGCAAGTATCCCTGGACATCCCAGCATAATAGAAAATCAAGAAGATGACCTAACAACTATGCTCATGAAGATGATAACAGAGGAAACAAATAATATACGTAAAGACATAGAGGAAGACAAACTCAAACAGAATATTGCCATCCATAAAGAAATAGATGAAGTTGCAGTCAAACCGTTTGTGGCCTTTAGAAAGGAAATGCGTAAAGCACTGAATGAAATAAAAGAAACAGAGGTTGGTTCAAACAAACAGCTGAAAAAAGTGATGGAAAAACAGGAAAACACAGTCAGACAGGTGAAGGAAATCAACAAAATGGCTCAAGATCTGAAGACAGAATTGGAAAAATTAAAGAAAACACAAATGGAGGAAATTGCAGAGAGAAAGAACTTAGGTAAGAAAGCAGGAATTACAGAGGTTAGCAAAACCAATAGACTAGAAGAGATGGAAGAAAGAATCTCAGGTGTGGAAGATACAATGGAAGAAATCGATGTATCTGTCAAAGAAAATGTTAAATCCAAAAAATTCCTGACACAGACCATCCAAGAAATCCAAGACAATATGAAAAGACAAAACCTAAGAATAATAGGTATAGAGGAAAAAGAAGATTCCCTGCACCAAGGCCCAGAAAATATTTTTAACAAAATCATTGAAGAAAATTTCCCCAAGTTAAAGGAGAGGCCAATAAGAATACATGAGGCCTACAGAACGCCCAACAAATTTGACCAAAAAATAAAATCCTCCCGCCACATAATAATCAAAACCGTAAGTATACAGAACAAAGAAAAAATACTAAAAGCTGCAAGGGAAAAAGGCCAAGTAACATATAATGGCAAACCCATTAGAATGACACCTGACTTTTCAACAGAGACTATGAAAGCCAGAAGGGCCTGGACAGATATCATGCAGACCCTAAGAGAACACAGATGTCAGCCCAGGCTACTATACCCTGCAAAACTCTCAGTCCTCATAGACGGAGAAAACAAGATATTCAATAACAAAAACAAATTTCAACAATACCTACACACAAATCCAGCATTACAGAAGACACTGGAAGGGAAAATACAACCCAAGAAAATTAGCTTCTTTCAAGAAAAGACAGGAAATAATTAATCCTACTACAGCAAAACAAAAAGCAACCAAGCACACAACCTTATGAACACAGCCAACATCAATATCAAAGGATCTAACAGCCACTGGTCATTAATCTCTCTCAACATCAATGGACTCAACTCTCCAATAAAAAGACACAGATTAACAGAATGGATACGTAAACAAAGCCAGCAATCTGTTGTATACAAGAAACACACCTAAGGCACAAAGATAGACATTCCCTGAGGGTACAGGGTTGGAAGACGACTTTCCAAGCAAATGGACATAAGAAGCAAGCAGGAGTGGTCATTCTAATATCTGAAAAAATAGACTTTCAACCAAAATTAATCAAAAGAGATGGGGAAGGACACTTCATACTCATCAAGAGAAAATTCCACCAGGAAGACATCACAATCCTGAACATCTATGCCCCAAATACAAGAGCACCCACATTTGTTAAAGAAACATTGATAAAACTTAAACCACACATAGATCCCCACACACTAATAGTGGGAGACTTCAACACCCCACTCTCAACAAAGGACATGTCAACTAAACAGAAATTCAACAAAGAAACAATATCTCTAACAGAAGTCATAAATCAAAGGGACCTAACTGACATTTACACAACCTTACACCCAAACACAAAAGAATTTACCTTCTTCCCAGCACCTCATAAAACCAGTCATTTGGAGGTAAAGAAAGAAGAAATAGACAAAATCCTTAAAGAAACACAGGCAAACATAGCCTAACAAATAGAGGCACAAGTAGAGATAAAATTAGTGTCATAAAAAGGAAATGAACAAGGAAATAGAGACCATCATAGAGAGACAGGAATCCAAATTCAAACAGA